ATAGAGATGGGTTCCTTGGTTTCCTGAAGTTGTCATCCGTGCAAAAACGGTTGCTGAATGGTCTCTGACCTGATGCAAAATCTGTGCAGTATAGCTTTTGAGCCTGGGACTTAAGTGAGCTGATTTACTGCCAGTTGATGAAATCTGTCATTTATCTGAAATTAAACACTTTTACATGCTTTGTGATGGTCTCGAGTATTTTAATCATAAAATGGTCGTTTTTCCATCCTATTTTGGAACTGGCCATTTTAATATTACCTGCTATTTTTGTTCTGTTGCTTTTTCAAGTTGGTGCTTATTGCTGTCACTGTAATATGATGACACTTTTTGGTTATAAATCCTTTAGTTGCAGTCATATAAGCAGTCTTTTGATGAGCATAGAACACCTTTCTTCTGTCAGACATTTTTGCTTCTGGTCACTTTTTTTAAAAAAAAATTTTATGTTGATATGGCAGGTGTGCTATGGGAAATTGCTATAGCTTGCAGAAAGACCATGAAACGGCACTCAAAAATTTCCAGCGTGCAGTGCAGCTAGATTCAAGATTTGCATATGCCCACACCCTTTGCGGTCATGAGTATGAATATATATCTGCTCTTTTAGGCAAAAAATGAAACCAGGAGTTAGATGGGATCTCTCTTCTTTTTCACCTAAACGTAGTATCATTTTAGAGATTATTTAATTTGAGGTTCTTATATTCACAGATATGTGGCCCTTGAGGATTTTGAGAATGGTATAAAGAGCTATCAGAGTGCTCTTCGTGTTGACACCCGACATTACAATGCCTGGTATGGTCTTGGAATGGTCTACCTTCGGCAAGAGAAGTTTGAGTTTTCAGAGCATCACTTCCGAATGGCATTTCAAATAAATCCACGTTCTTCTGTTATAATGTCATATCTTGGGACAGCTCTACATGCGTTGAAGGTTTGTCAAATTTTATGAGCTGGGAACCTTATCAAGACAGTTCAATTTTAACCATTGGCATCTTCTAAATTTGGCAGAGAAATAAGGAAGCATTGGAGATTATGGAGAAAGCTATTATGGCAGATAAGAAGAATCCTCTCCCACTTTATCAGAAGGCTAATATTCTTGTGACCATGGAGAATTTCGATGGGGCTTTGGAAGTCTTGGAGGAGCTTAAGGAGTATGCGCCGCGGGAGAGCAGCGTGTATGCACTGATGGGTAGGATCTACAAAAGGCGTGATATGTACGACAAGGCCATGCTACATTTTGGACTCGCTTTGGATATGAAACCATCTGCAACTGATGTTGCTACCATTAAGGTAACAATATAGCTTCTTATCTATGATTTCTACCTGTAATAGGTGCTACTGAAGTACTGATACAAGAATCACTGGTATTATTTGTTTATTATTTCAGCATGAGAAATTGCTAAAACTAGATACTGTTAGTATTATTTTTTGGATAAACCATCAACTTTGACTTGAACCGTGAGATTGCAACTCATGTTTAATACTGGTCTAGTGCATTCTGTTGAATCACAAAATTTGACCCCTCTCCATCCCTACATTTTATGTGTACAAGTATTTCCTACCGATTCAATCTTTTGATAGTACTTCTATAGCTCAGATATCAAGAGAAGTCATTTATCATCTTCATAATCAATTATAGATTATGGTGCACTTCCTCTTGTGGTTTACTAAGCTGGGCAATTTATTTGATCATTGCTTAAGTATACCCTTCATTCCTTCCTCGAACAGGCTGCCATTGAAAAATTGCATGTACCGGATGAAATAGAAGATAACTTATGAGTAATGAAACATGAGACTCCAAAGAGAGACGAGTTTGTAAATCATCCCGGACTCCCTGCTATAAGATTAGGGGTTCGCCATCTGCTTGTGCTGTCGATAATTTGTGGAAGAGAGAGAATGATTTGATCCTTTGGACAAATTCCTGCAGCAAGCTCTTCCAGTTAAGGAACCCTGTAACTCAGTTTTGTAGGCTTTTCGCATTACAGAGGAGGGAGCAATGTGACATTTGTTGCATCAAGTCTCCTTCTTGCCTGTATTAGAACAAAATTGCCCACTGCCAAACCGGCTTGTATCAGTAGCTGTACTCATTGTACCATTTCAATCTAATTCTGAATTTTTTTCAGTACAATATTGTTACAATTAGTCCTATACTGGAAGTGGACGAGAATGGTCCTATCTAATCTATTGAGAGGTTCGAAGAGAGCTAAACAACCTTCAGTCATGCTCTAGGGAAGGAAGCAACGCAGTTAGGGGGATTCGACCCCAAGACCTGCGCCTAGGGAGGGACTTAGTTCATCTTCCGGTGGTCAACTGAGAATTCTGAACTGATATGACGAGGATTTGCATCTTGTCAAGCTTTTGTTTTTCAGAAGGAATTATGATTCCATTGTCAATGGACATGTTTAAATCTTTCCAACCACATTTCCAGTATAATACTGGAGATTCTCATCCATATTTTCTCTTATAACACCATCGTCAATTCTGATCTTGTATCCCATTGTTTTTGCAGCGCTATTTGTGTATTTGTTCCAAATAATTCTGGTGTAAATTCAGCAAATATTTTCTGGTTGCATTTTCTACATTATTTATCAAATACCTCCTTTTCTCCATTATTCTGGTTTTGGCCCTATTTTTTCTTGGGACGACTCGAGGAAAGGGAAGACAAGAGTTGAAATCTATCAGTAGAGTATAATTTTTCACTAATTCTTAAAAAAGCTTGAAGCAATACTTTGTTTGTAGGATTTAAAAAAAGAAGTTAGTTCGAATAAATAAAATTTCATTGCCAATGTGGGACTCGCCATTGCTAATAAATTTGGCGCGCAAACACGTGTCACAATGTAAGAGAAGTGGGGCCCGTTTTGTTCATATCACCACCGTCAATTCAATTCCCCTCTTCCTTAAGTTTCCTAAACGCGCTAAGCCATGGATGGGATAATTTCACAAACCTCCCTTAAGGTTTCTCAAATTTTCACTTAGCATCACATCATTTTGAAAAATATCATTTGTCTTTGTTACTTTTAACTTTTTGTAATGTTGTCAACCCATTTCAAAATATAATATACAAAAATTTATTTTTTGGATAGAGGAGATGTTTTCATTTCAAAAATACACTTTGTTGTCCTACTTTTTTCAAAATTGTAAACTTGTCATAAAAAGTTAAATAAAGACGAATTGTACAAATGTGTAATTTTGAAAGACACAATATAATTGTAAGTATATCAATGTACACAAAATTTATTTTAATAATATATTCAAAGTGTTTTTAAGACAAAAAAAAGATTATTCCTTTATTATAAAGTGTTTTTGGTCAATTTGAGGAGTTTTTCAAATTTTTAAAGTTTTAAAAGTTTGTAAATTTCTTTTCTAGATTGATGCCTTGTAAATCATTAAAAAGATAAAATGTTTATGTTTACAAATTCATTTGAGATTTTCTCAAAGAAAAAAGTCATTTTTTTAATTCAAAAATATGTATGAATGAAATTAAAGATTTATGAATTGTGTATAAATTTTTTGAATTGCTAATTCTTTGACTAGATCAATGGCTTGAAAATTTGAATAACATAAAATTCTTAACTATAAATTTAAAAACTCATTTGAGGTGTTTCAAGGTGCAAAATGCTATTATTATCATTGAAAAATTCTCATGCAAATTTTTAGAATTTTCTAAATTATTTAGAATTTCAAAATTTTATCAAATTTCTTGTGTAGAATAATGGCACGAAAATTAAGAATACGTGTTTCAACCTTGTTAACTACTTTATAATTCCTAATTAAAAAATCACATCAGCCAAGTGTTCAAAAGTTAAGAGATTAACTATATTTGTTATGTAAACAAAATGGTTCACAAGAAAATATTGGAATGAAAATATACTCTCTATCCACAAATAAGTTTTTTGATAATATATTTTGAAATGTGCTACCAATGTTACAAAAAGTTAAAAATAATGGAGGCAATCAATTTTTTTAAAGTTCAGGGGGCTAAATAAAATTGTCACAAACGTTAAGGGAGGTTTCTAAAATTATCCATGTACAACATATCATAAACTTTTTGTAGTATCATGAAAGGATATATATATATATATATATATATATGGATAGAATTGATAGATTACTCAGTTATGTTTAACATATTTACATGACATTTATTGACCCAAAAAAGGAAAAAAATTAAAAAATTATAACATAAAAGGGCGTTCTTTGTCTTGGAATAATGGGTTTATTTTTTGGATCAATCATTTCATGCACCGTTAGTATATATATTTTGCGAGTCTAGATGTATATCATATATATAAATTTTGGTGTTTAATTTTAAATTGATATGATGCAGTAGATAACTAGGTCCGTCAGTGCATACAATAACAATGTATGAAAAATTAATCCTTCCTTTTTATGTTATAATTTTTTATTTTTCCTTGTTGGGTTTTTATTTCCTTAAAAATCATGTTGAGTTTACCAAGTGATCTATCAATTATATCCCCAAATTTTGTAATCAGGTTACTAGGTGGTTGGATTCAGATTGAAAGTTGATTTTAAAGATATAATAGTTTCAATTTTTAAATAGGGTTAAAAATAAAAAAACTTCATGTGATATATCTAATACGCAAAAAAGCCCCCCGTGATTTCAAAATATACAAAATGACACATCATATTTTAAACTAAATTGTAAACTAACGGAATTCGTTAAATTTAACGAAAATGACGGTCTCAACTGTTAAGTTTACCGAATTTTGTTAAGTTTAAACGAATTCTGTTAGTTTATAATTTAGTTCAAAATATGAAGTGTTGTTTTATATATTTTGAAATCATGAAGGACTTTTTTGTGTATTAAGTATCGCAGGGATTTTTTTTGTTTTTAACCCTTTTAAATATCATGAATTTGGTTCGCAATTATAGCATGAGCGAAAATTATTTTTGTAAAATGTGAGAAATAAAATTGGTTATGTTTCTAAAAATAAATATCCGTAACTGTTAACCCATACCGCGTAGTAGGACTCAGTGAAGTAAAACACTCGTCTTCTTCTATCCATATGGACTGTTTGTGTATAAATTTAGAGAGATAAAGTACGAAGACCGAAAGAAAGAGGGAAGAAGAGGAGGAAAGAAATGAAGCACCTCTTGAAAAAGCTTCATCACCACCCTAATCGATCCAACGAAACTCCATCTTCTACTTCTTCGTCCACGTCATCATCGTCGGCGCCGGCGTCAACGTCAGCGTCATGTGGTGTCTCCGATCACCGTCCTTCCAACTTCGGCAACGCTCCGGCGTGTGTTCCCACTACTGCTACTGCTGCTTCTCCTACTACAACTTCGCCGACTTCTGCTGCTCCTGCCACTTCTCCGGAGGCTACAGCTGCGGCGGATAGGCAGCAGCAGCAGCAGCAGAAGAAGGATTATTTTGATTCGGAGGAGGAATTTGAGATGCAGCTAGCCATGGCAATGAGCGTCTCGGCCTCTTTGGCGCAGGAGTCTGGTACTATCGATGGGAATACTGATCATCATCATCATCAGAGTTTTCTCGGAGGAGGCCGAGGTGGCGACTCTGTGGGCCACAGGGATGATGCTGCTGCGGACTTGTTGTCCAGGCGGTTTTGGGTGAGCTTTTGTCCTTGTCGAATTTGCTTTAATTTTGTCTAAAGCTTTCTTTTTGTTTTTTCCTGAAAAAATTCTACTCCAAAATTCAGTTAGGCTACTGCATTCTTCTGAATTGGAAAATTTTATTATTTTAAGTCGAATCTGAATAAGGTGGTAAATTTGATTAATTTCATGTAAATGTCGAAGCTGGATTAAAAAATGCTCTTATTCTGCAGATTTTATTCTGCTTCTTTATTCAGTGATGTTGTTATCTCTTTAGATTTCTTTCTTACTATATTTGCTGAGTTCATAGCTATGTGAAGTTACAAAAATTAGAGACCAAAATGGCCGAGAAAATGGGAGAGTTGAGTGAGAAAGAATATTAGGCATAATTAGGAAGTGCTTGACATGCTTGATTTAGCCATTTTGGGTGTTGTACAGACATCTACATTTGCTTATGTTGGTAGTGTAAATTAGTGCAAATTAATGCAAGAATTCTTTTACTCTTTCTGAGTGCAGATTATTGTTATGAAGATGTGTTGGCAAATCAAAGGTTAGTGAATGAGAGAATTTGATTTTTCTAATTTTTCTGATTAAAATCAGGGAGACTGTTGAATGAAAGCTTGACCTGGTTTTGAGTGGTGGCTCTGTGTAGCTGTGCAATGTTTTTCTTTAGCAACTATATGCATCTAGCAACTTATCATTGAGCTTGAATACTGGTCATTGCTAATTGTTCAGTTCTAGAATCCCTTACAATGACAAGGAGAGCTTTTTTCGGCAAGAGATTGAAATAGTTTCCTTTATTGGTGAACCTTCTCTGTGGTAGAGCAGTAATATAATTCAGGTTAGAAACATTGAATCATACTCACATAACAAGGAAATTGGCATTGTCTATTTCAAACTCAAATAACAGGGAAGTATCCTTTCCTTTTCCATTAGCCTTTCGATATTGAAGTGTTCTTTCCTTATGCAGTTTGACAATATTCTTCTTGTCACTTAGGACTAATGACTAACCTGCACACTTAATCGTGGCACATTTGAGATTTTCAGTTATATCTAATCTAGAGCAGTAAGAATCTGTCTGCAGTAAGAGTTAAAATGACGGATAATTGTTTCTGATGTGCAAGTTTTGCAGCCACTCTGCACAGATTTTGGTCTTGGGGTTAGTGATGCATTTATTCATCCAATGCACGATACTGAGAATTGTTGGAAATTTTAATTGCCAGACCATTATTGTAGTGGCGCACTCTACTGATTTGAGAAGAGAGTTGTTGGTTCATTTGCCTTACAGGCTTTACTTGCGCCATTGAGTGCTGTATTAGACGTGTTTTGGTTTGTGGATTTCAACTTTTAAAATTCATATGCGACAAATACTTTTGAGGCATTTTGCGTTATGCCAAACTATTAGGAAATAGAATAATGGATATCAAGTAATGAGAATGGAAATTTTCCTGTTCAAAGTAATAAAATACTTATTTAGCATTTTGCATTTATCTTTGATTTGTCAGGAAGATAGTGGACTTGACTATGAGGAAAAGGTGGTTGAAGGCTTCTATGATGTCTTCAGTCTCTCCATAGATCCAGCAAGCAAAGGAAAAATGCCATCTCTTACTGATCTTGAGACAAATCCTGGTGGCTCTGATTTTGAAGTAGTAATAGTCAACAAATCTATTGATCCTGCTTTGAGAGAGTTGGCGGAGATTGCACGGTGTATAGTAGCAACGACTGAGATTGGTCTTCAAGTACAGAGACTTGCTGAACTTGTTGCAGACCAAATGGGTGGACCAGTGAAGGATGCAAATGTCATAATGGCAAAATGGCTGGAAAGAAGCACAGAGTTAAGGACATCTCTCCACACAGTTGTGCGACCTCTTGGGTCATTAAGACTTGGGCTTTTACGTCATCGATCGCTGCTTTTTAAGGTTGGGGTTAATATATTTCTTTTGAACTTAATTGTGTCCTTTGCTTGCTATATATCTAGTGTTGTTTCTGTACTTCACCAAATTTTATTAGAAAATGCTGTAAAAACTTTAATTCATGTCTTACCTTTTTCGGTTTTGTATTGATTTTTTTATTTGTTTTTGCTTGAATGCAGGTATTGGCTGACAATGTTGGTATACCTTGTAAATTGGCGAATTGGAGTAAATACACTGGAAATGAGGTTGATGTTGTGAACTTTGTAAAGTTTTCAGACGGAAGGTAAAATTTGTGCCTTTCCTTTTCCTTTTTACTCTTCATGTACTTTTAAATTGACCACTTATCTCAGAACTTTATAGCAGTATGATTTGCTCATATGTTTCTGAATTGGGGGGTATTTGTTCTTATTTCTCAGCTTTCTAGGTTAATAACTTTGAAGGTTATGGCATGCACCTTTGAGTTATTGATTGTACATTGTGTTTTTAAAAGATTGGATGACAGTACCTTCAATTGTTTATTTCCTTAGTCTGCGTGTGTGCTAGAGATGGCAGATTTCCTAGTTCTTGGTAATGCGGTTGGATATTGTGGATTTTGTTGGATAGTTGATAAAACTGGCTGAACCTTTTTCATGTATGTGTCATGTTGCGTACAGCTGTTTTGCTGAAATAGGAGTCAAGATGAACTACTGAACTATATTTAACCTGGTTGTAGAAGTTGCTTAGTTCCTCTCTACCAATTATATATTGGTCAATAGGGATTAGGATGAGGATGCTTTTGATGTAACTTGTTAGAGGCTGCAAGATTGATGTCAAGTTCTTGTACGTCACTTAATTGTGCATAATTCCTTGAAGGCTGCATATAATTGGAAACAAGTAGTCTTTCTGTATTTTGAGTTGTTAAGTCCAAGGATGTTGATCGAAAATAAATTGCAAAGGATTGAGTCACAAGTAGTGCTGGAAAAGGGACTGCTGCTCAACTGTTTCTTGACTGAATTTCTTGAAACAAGGGTTTTGGTATTGTTCTTGTGTCCTTAAGTCTTTGAATGCACTCAGAAATTGGTTTGTTTAGATGTCCGATTTGCAGGGATTTTTGCATCAGTATCATTGATGTCTGAGTAGCATCTTACAATTCAAAAATGAGCACAACAGCCCAAAGATTTCTATTATGTGGACGCCAGTGGAAGAGAATTAATACTAGTCTTTTGAGGACTTTTCCTGATTGTGTATAGATCCTGTCTGTGGGTACCAACTGGGACATTAAGTAGCAAGAGCGAATTTTTGAACTGATTATGTTCATTATCATAATTAGTTTATACCAACTTGAAGGTTGTAGGCCCATCTTTAAAATTCTATGATTTCATGAAGATTGTATCAATGCTCAGCACAATGAAAACCGTTTGACATTGTAAAATAATTAGATAAGGACACTGAACAAAAATGGAGGATACATGATTCAATCTTCTAATATCAGTATTGTACTCTGTATTTTAAACTGAGAAGGTTGAGGTTTGTGTTTTTATCTAGTTCCCTTTATATCTTGATGGTTTCAATCGTATTGCTGTGGTAAAGTTCTTGGAAAACACTGACATGTATAGTTCAACACGTGCACAAAAGACTAAAGTTAATTGCTGCCTGGTGAAAGAATGTGATGAAATTTATGGATTCTGTGTGGATAAAGAAAATTTGTAGGATATCTATTCTACGTTTGTTCCCCTTGTTTTACCATTTCATTTACATGAACGTGAAGATTCATGCCTCATTGAGAGATAAATAATTCTTTCCAGTAAACTAACGCGTGTATTGCAGTACTCGATTAATTGTATCAGTTGACACCATTTTAGATTAGCAGTACTTTTTTAAGTTATTTTTGGCTTTCAGTTCTTTTACTTTTTCTTGTCCAGTGGTATGTTTTTGGTTATTCTTGTTGAGCTACCTTTGTTTGCTTTCTTTTGTAAAGCATTACATTCTATAGCGACCTCATTAAACTTGAAGACTTGGTTTTTGACTGAAACAGTACATTTTTGCTTCTTATCTCTGCTTGTTCATAGCACTAACTCATAACCTTATAAATATCATAAATAAAAGAAGCAAACCCATCAGAAGAACTATTCTTTGGAGCTTACCCTATCTATTTGCGTGGTTATTAATGCTTTCTAAATGATTAATTTCCTCCTCCTGGTTTCTTCCAATCCTTTCACATTTAAGGTATTGAATGATCAACAAGTGCTCCATCATTTGTTTTTTGGGTTGGGGTGAGTTTGAAGACTTACTAGGACGAATTCATAATGAATGATAATGGAATTTGGGTCTCTAATTATAGCTGAAATGTTGAAGAATACTCTATAGCTGTTTTATAGAACAGTCAACGTTTGGTACTCTTGTAAGTGTATAATCCTATATATGGTTCTAGTTGATTAATGCTTTTATACATTTGCTCTCCAAATTTAAGCTCCTAAATTAATCTCTTTACCTGCAGTGAGTTCTTAGTTGATCTCATGGGTGAACCTGGGGCACTCATACCTGCTGATGTTTTGAGTGCAAAAGATGGATCTTTCAAGTCATATCCTCCGAAATTAGGCAAACTTCCCACTTTTCAGGCAACCAGTGATACTGGAGCTGCTCAATCAAATCCATATTTATTATCTGGACAGAGTTCCGCAGAGGAAAATAGTTTCTCTTCACAAAAAGATTCCGAAAAGACAGATTCATTGCCTTCTCCTCAGAATGGAAGAACCAGTAGCAGTGTTAGCTCTTCTGGATTGAACAAAAGGGCACCAGCTTCCAACCAGATGGATCATATCCCATCCTTGGCTATTGGGACTTCTTTGTACAAAGGTGGTCGTGGGCCCAATGCAGCTGGTGATGGTGCAAGAATGAATGTGAATCTGGTTCCATATAATCAGAGCAGTACTGAAGACCCAAAAAATCTTTTTGCTGATCTTAATCCATTCCAAATAAAAGGATCCGGTAAGGCTTCGTTGCAAGGGGACTATGGTAGGAAAAACTTTAATGAAATACCACGGCCAAAAGGTAACCTTCTTAGTGGCCGACCTCCAGTACCTTTGGCACAAAAAAGTAACCAGATATATAATGAGGCTTCCAAGAAAAATGAATATGACTTTGTTGAGAGCCTCTTCTCAAAGAGCAATCGCACAGCTGGTGAATGCAGTATGTTGTCAACTCCTTCTACAAGCTTCACTCCTCCAGTCGTAGCTAGAAAGTCTGATGATGCCTACAGAGAGGATGATGCAAACATGTATGCTGTTAATAATTTGGCAATAGCTGAGGTGCAATTCAATCGGTTGTCTCTACAGGATGACCAGGGCATTGATCAGAAAGAAACTTATCAAAGTGGTGGTGGAATGCTTCAGAATGGCCAATCAAATATTACAAAAGAGTATGGGAAGGATGCTAGTGGGATGCATGACCAGAGAAACAATCAGCAAGATGGTTTTACATTGACTGATTTAAGATTCAAGGATCAAGCATATCCAAGCTCTTCTGTTAATCCAGCTGTTCCTCAACTTGATCCTGTAATTGATGATGTCAGTGAATGTGAAATTCCATGGGAAGATCTAGTTATTGGTGAAAGGATTGGACTAGGTATATACATGGAACTGCCTGCTTTACTTTTTAAGGTTCTCCGACCCGTTAGAGTTAGCATTGACATATAATTGCTTGTCGTAACTTTCTGATACTTAATTATCCACCTTATATACAGGTTCCTATGGTGAAGTATATCATGCTGATTGGAATGGCACTGTAAGTCATTTTTTTCATGCTTAATATTGTTGTTTCTGCTACTTTCATACTTGATATCTGAGAAGTAGAAGTTTGTCTCTTATGAGATTCTCCTTGTGAAACTTTTAATTGAAAGTTACTGGTGATCCAGATGCCTAATTTTGCGATGTTTTCTTTCTTTTTTTTTTTCTTTTTTATTTCATTCTTAGGAATATTAAGTAAAGGTTCTTTGGAATAATTCCTAATCTTTTTACCAACAAGTTCTTCGTAAAGCGGATACTTCTAAAATTCCACTAAGGTTTAATTCAGCAAGTAGTTCACTTTTAAAGGAACCTATAGAGCTTTCTGCTTGTTTGCAACTGGATTTGGAAGTAGTTCTGGGCTCCAAGGCATTCTTGAACAGTTTTTCCAGCTTGCTATCGTTATGAAAATTGAGGAAGGAGCCATCCTTTAATGTTACTTATTGTCGACTTAAATTTTTAAACTAGCTGATACCCTATTCAAATGAATTAATATCAGGCAACCGTAAAAGAAGCTGGTATAGGCTAATGGGTGAATGAAGGGACAAGTACACAAATTTGCTTTGCTGCTAAGCTCAAGTGTCAATACTAGAATTTGTGTCAGTCACTTTTTTGATCAACTTAATTATAGATGGCTTTATCTGATATTAAATTGCTTATTTCTTGACCCAAGATCACTACTGTAGTTAAAACTTGAAAGTATAACGAAGGGACCATTTATACTGCTTGGCGGAAAGGGGATTACATCTTTCTGATGTTATGCTCAAAAATCTTTATATTGATTATACGTCATAGCATGGATTGCAACCCCCTGCCCCTCTTTTCTTCTTCTTCTCCTCCTCCTCCTCCTCCTCCTCCTTGGTGAGTATCAACTCGGCAGTCATTTGTTAATTCATCACTAACTTTTTGAAACTCTTGAAGATGAGATATGTTTGCATCTGTTTTTATTGGGACTTTAATCCTCTTTCTAGAGGACAGTCTTCTGTGATATTGAACTTGACATAGCTGTTCATTTTTCCTGCAAGAAAGCATGTCATTGGCTCTAATGACTTGTCTGGTGAATTGTCTGGATCAGGAAGTTGCTGTGAAAAAGTTCCTTGACCAAGATTTCTCGGGTGCTGCTTTGGCTGAGTTTAGGAGAGAAGTAAGAACTATTTCTTAGAAGCATCTTTCTTCTTCATTTGACTGGTAACTGTGATGTCATTCGTGTTAATCTATGTGCCTTTATGCGCATAATAAAGTACATTAGTCTTGTTCTGTTTATTTGCCCAAAAATATTTGGTATACACGAGAGCAGAATTTTACAGAAATCAGAGATTATAGCATCATTATTATAGCAAGCATTGTGAACTATTCTTAGTTAAGCCGATAACATAAGGTGAAGTGTTAAAAATGGAAATAAAAAAAAAAATCTGAGTGCGGGTTTTGAAGCGCTGGGTGCAACAATGAATTTTGATGCTGAAGTTGAAATTTATTTGTGAGGAATTATCTTAAAGTCCTCCACTTGTTGAGTGAAATACTATAACCTTTATTAGTGTACATTGACATATGATATGTGTGGTTACAATACAAACTAAAAGACAGCCGTTGTTATTCACATGAGGTCATGCTGTTTTTTAGATTTTCTCAATGTTTATTTACCTTGTTCTCCTTTCAATTTCTTGGTAAGAGTAAACAGAGATTGATATAAATCTCCATTTTACAATAAATCGGTTCACAAGGGATGAGCAACGCTTATTCGTGCATGCAGGTGCGCATAATGCAAAGGTTACGCCATCCAAATGTAGTTCTTTTTATGGGTGCTGTAACTCGGCCTCCGAATCTCTCTATTGTCACGGAGTTTTTACCACGGTACGTTTGCTACCTTCTTTTCTTAATTTTCCCCTGTTCTATTATCTATAGTTAGCATTTATGTGCAAAGGTACCTATTAAGGGGGTGCTACTCTTTTGCAAGATAGCATATCATGTTGCATTTGGTTTTGCTGAATTACTGGCAATTCATCCCATTAAAAGACAAGCTATGGTTTTTGCTTTACTTTTTGTAAATTATCCTGGAATCTGCTTCATGTGAAGTAGCTTCCCTGTTTTCTTCTGTCGTTAGTTTTTCATGGAGACTTACCTATTTTAACAGTTGGTTCTTTTGAGATGATTTGATGCATCAGATATTGTCAATTCATAGTGGTTGCTCCTTAGTATTGAAGTTTACGTATCTATAGTAACTGTCTCTGTTGGTTCTTGCTATCAAAAGATGTAAAAAGAATGGACCAAAAACAAAATGTAAAGAAACATGTCAAGGCTATTACGACAAGACAATTTTCCAAGTGTCAGTTCTCAAAATGCTGGTGGTTATGTCCCCACAAATTTGTGAACTCAAAACTTTGCATTATTTAAGAATTGCAGTAATTATACCAGACTCAAAAGACAAGGCAGTTTTTTAAGTATCAGTTCTCAAAATGCTGGTGGCTGTCCCCCCATCAAAATTGTGAACTCAAAGCTTTGCATTTTTTATAAGAATTACAGTGATTATGCTGCAGTTGTAATATGTTTTGCCAATGGTGATAAAATTATGATAACTGCCTAAAAGTAGAAGTGCTGGTCAATAGTTTAAGTGGCAACTGCACTCATCTATAGTGCTCAGGAAGTGTTAATAGAATTTATATGTGAGCTATTCATTGTGTCACTTGGGAGTTTATTGCTCGTAGGAGATAGCTTAAGACGAATATTGTCCCCTGCCCCTTGGTACTGCTGTCAGATGTCAGAAGCTGATAGTTGTTATCACTGTGTCTTTATCCTCAACATTCCTTTCTAGATTTTGTGAGTTCAGTTCATTCATTAATTCTTTTATTTTGCAGAGGAAGCTTATATCGGATTATTCATCGCCCACAGTGTCAAATTGATGAAAAGCGAAGAATTAAAATGGCTTTAGATGTGGTATGGCATAATGAAATAGTTGATAGTTGTTTTGGCTGATTTCCTACTTTTCTTTTGCTTATAAGCTGCATTTGAGGTTCTGTTTTTCAGGCAAAGGGCATGAATTGCTTACATACTAGCATACCTACAATCGTCCACCGTGATCTGAAGTCACCAAATTTGTTGGTTGATAATAATTGGAATGTGAAGGTATGTACACTGTTGAGATTTTTTTTTTTTTTTTTCTGAATTCGGCAACAACTCGAGTCAGCTCAACAGTAGCCTCATTCTATGGTGTCCACAAACTAAAATCGTAGTATCATTTATTCTTTTGTAATCCTCGTGGCTGCTTTTGTGAGTCATGCCTTTTGAACTATTGTGGGAGGATGACTTAACTGAGAAAAAGTGCTCCTAATGGGGGTTGTCTGGATGTCAAATTGATATTTCTTGCTTTCAATGAAGCAGCACTTAAAACTAGTGATGAAAGGAGACCAATGGTTCATTTGTTAGCTAGACCTGTTAGCTTCTGTGTATAATGGGGTGGAATCATCTATATGACTGAAAATTGTTATTGCTGTTTTCTTTTCTTTTCTTTTTTTGCCCCCGCCTTTCGATGTTTGCATAATGCTCTCTCATTAACTAATCAAGAATCATCTTGTCTTCCAAGTTGTAGCTCTTTCTTTATGCTTATCTTTTGTTTATTTCCATGTATATAACGTCTATCATGCAGGTATGTGATTTTGGGTTGTCACGTTTGAAGCACAATACATTTTTGTCATCGAAGTCGACAGCTGGGACAGTAAGGATGACCACTTTCAAGCTTTAGTAGATTAGATTTCAATCTTTAGTTGCTTTGTTCTTTTGTTTCTTATGAAAATAACTTTTACCCTGTAGCCAGAGTGGATGGCACCAGAAGTACTCCGAAATGAGCCTTCTAATGAGAAGTGAGTTGGCATTATAATCTGATCCTAAAAATGTCCATTGTGCAGCACACGATGTGTTTGGAGCTCATGTTCATCTTTTCTTTCCTAAAATTTGTTTACAACTTCTTCTTTACTTGAAATATGCTTATGTCTCGTGTATTGCTAAATTGAACCTAGCAAGTCCTTGCGCCCTCGGGATATTATAAGTAGGCTATTTTTGTCTGCTTGCTCATTTTTGTGTGGTAGGTTGACCAAGTTTTTAAAGCAAACTAAATCATTTTATCTAAGATATATCAAGTGTTATTACAAGGAGAGTTTTTTTTTTTTTTTCAAAGTATTATTTACCGAGAGAGTTTAAAAACTTAGAAATACTACCAGATTCTATATCTAAACTCATTATAACAAGAACCTAGTCACAATTGTCTTTTAGTAACTCTGCACAAAAATACTTTTCCAGAAGCCCTAGGCGGGTGCCATACTCCAATTCTCCTTGTTCCTGAGAATTGGAGTATGGCTGTTGGCTAGGGGCTCCATAAAAGTCAAAGCAATAGTCTAAAGGGGCGAACATGTGATTGAGCCGTGCAACTGATGGCTGATGCAAGAAATTGAGTCCATAATCAGTTGCGAAACCGATTTTCCCTTACATTTCATTTTTTCAACCTTGACTCCCAAACTCTTGTTGTGGACATTTTTTACCTTAGTCTTTCTAAATTGTCCCAAATTAGCCCAATTGCTTATGTGTTTGTACATCATGCTTCATAAAGTGACCATATCATGTTTTGAACATATGTAGTCAACAATTTTGGGACACACACATGATGTGTTTGCGTATATTTTAAATTTAACATTATAAGTAATTGGCAGGATTATTTGGAAATTTTGATAACTTTAGAGTGCATTATGCCCATATAGAAGTTCCAGGTGCAAACTGGAAATTGGTAAAAGCATTAGAAGTGCAAAGTCGCATTTGTCCTGATTATGATGTATGAAGTGACACTGGTGGTTTCTAGTTTCTGGCAATAATTGTTTGTATTCATTACTTAAATGTAAACAAGGGTCATCACAAATCCTTTTTTTTTTTTTTTGCCCTTTTCATTCTTGAATAAAGGTTGATGAAACTGCAAGAAATTTGAACAGACATTGCTTTAGCAGTTTAGCACCATTCTTTGAAATTTTGGATATTACCATCTCCAACACAGGGCACAAAATGGATATGGGTTAATCAGGGAGCTTTATCCAGTGTCTTTTGTGCTTTTTGGTATTTAGGGCAGGGAGCTTTGCACTAAGAGGTTTGTGGATTTCTGTGCAGGTGTGATGTTTATAGTTTTGGCATCATTTTGTGGGAATTAGCAACCCTCAGACTACCTTGGAATGGGATGAATCCAATGCAGGTTGTGGGTGCTGTAGGCTTTCAAAATCGCCGTCTTGATATACCAAAGGAAGTTGATCCATTAGTAGCTAGAATAATTTGGGAATGTTGGCAAACGTAAGTTGCACAATATGACTACAGCGATGCATTTTTCTCTTTCATTTTGTCAGTTTTTCCTCAACTAATCAGTCTTGCCTGTTCTATGCCATTTTCTTTTACCAGGGACCCAAATCTGCGCCCTTCATTTAGTCAACTCACAGTGGCATTGAAACCATTGCAGCGGCTTGTCATCCCTTCGCACATAGATCAGCCAAGCCAACCCATGCCTCAGGAGATCTCGGTGAATTCCACGCCTTAAGACACATCTCAGATCCTCAACTGTGAAAAAATATTGTTGTGTTTGCACAGGATGACGAACATGAACTATTCAGAGAAAGTGATAAAGTTTTGGAGTCGCTTCCCTGATGGAAACAAAAGCTGGGGATTTGCTGTTTGAGTTGGGAGTCAGAACTCAAATTTGCGAATGCAGTTTTAAGGTCAAAAGCAAAAGTTAATGTGTGTGTATTGTTTCTGCAGCTCAAAACTTGCTGTGGCTCTTCTTGTACAGTGGCTTGTGCATATGTGATCCCAATGCTTAAAATGTATAGCTTGATGTCTTGTAATATTTCTTGTTGGTCTCATTAAAAATATTGAAAAGCTACCATGTTATCATTGCTCGGCGCAAAAAAAAAAAAAATCATTTTAAGCCGATAATAATTGCTGCTATTTGCCATTGGAACACATTTTCTTTAGCAAATTGTCTGATTCAATTATAATGGGGATGAACAGATGATTTGCGATATTAAATCCCAAGTCAAAATGTTGCGTTAACAGGCCGTTTCTCAAGTTCAAGGGAATTTGGTATGCGATATTCCGGACTTGTATTAAAACGAGATTGACAATTTTGTCTCACCCAGGAATACATCTTTAGAGTATATCGTTATGAATGCGTTACTTTTTGAAGGAGAAGTTTAGACCTCTAGTAAAGGTTCTTTTTTTTTTTTTTTTGGAGGAAAGACCTCTAGTAAAGTTAATATAGCAATTTAAATCTCAAATTTATCAAAAGACAGAGAGACAGAATTTTTTTATTAGAAGACAGAAATTATAGAAAGATTATAAAGTTGATACATGATAAAAAGCGACAAAGAGTACCTATTTTCATGAAAAAAAATCATGGTGGAATAAGGTATCTCCACCCCATTCATCGCGCCGTTCCCCATCTCTATAAGAGATATATACAAAAATATAGGTTAATTTCTACTTGTCAATACCCTATGTAACTGAATTTTAGTTAGTGTTTAGTTTGGTTGTGGTTGTAAATGAACAATATTTATGGCCTTGGTTTCAACCTTAGAAGTTCTATTTGATTGCTCTTGAATTTAGAGCTACAAACCAATTGAGTCTCTCACAAGCAGTTTGACTCCGAGTTCGAGTCAAATTCGATCAACATCGAGATCCAACTCGAGTTTAAGCTAATCAAGTCGAATTCGAGATAAAAAAAAATACCTGACTCATTAGTTTGCGAGCCTGCTCGATTATATATGTTTATTTTGTATTTTTATTTTTAATAGTAAAATTATATATATATTCTTAATATTTTATTATTTGTTAAAACATTAATATTTTATTTATTTTTTTAAAAATAAAATAATTATTTTTTTTGTTCTTTTTAACTGGAACTTTACATTGAGAGTTCGAATTCGAGTTTCATAAAACTAAATTGAGACTCGGCTCTGCTTGGCCAAAATTCGACTCGTTTATACCCCTACTCTTGATTACCTCGTGTTGGTGCTGGTACCACTAGCAAGAAGGCATTACATGTACTTTATAGGTGGCAAATAAATCCATTTAGCTAATTTTACCTATACTTGTCCATGAATAGTTGGATATGGGTATATTAAGTTTTTACATATGGATATAAAATGGGTTACCCAACAAGTAGGATTTTGCCCATGCCTTAGCACGGACTTTTTTATTTATTTATTGTGAATTTATACAAATATAAATAATTTAAATATAAAAATTAACAACATTTCTACATGTTCATTCATATTAATTTTAAAAAATTACTGTAATTTAAATGTACAATTATTTACTAATTTTTAAAAATTTTTTATTCATTGTGAATTTATACAAATACCAATAATTTAAATATAAAAATTAACAATAATTTGACCTATTCATTCATATTAATTTTAAAAAATTTTAAAATTAATGTATATTAAATGTTCAATTATTTACTAATTTTTAAAAATTTGTTTACATGCTTTTACTATAATATGATAGTATACATCAAATAATATACCACATATCAAAAACTTGGTAGATATTCTTTTTTTTTAATAAATGTTCTTTTAGATAATTTAAATTTTTATAATGACCATAAACCTAGAACTATGTATTCATAAAAAGATCTAGCAATCCATTTTTCTTTGTCAATAAATATTTAGTTTTCAATAATATTGATAAATCTATCAATGTAACAGTTAATTCTTTTTTTACACTAAATTAATTCAAAATTAAGAGAAAAGATGATGAGCAATTTGAATACTAATCAATGATATAGTGATGAAATGAAGTAATTTATGGGATATGTAAGATTTCAATAATTGTGATTTAGAAAGGTTTTACTATACTTCTATGTAATAATTTGGTAGAAATAAGATTATGGTGGTGCAAGAAAGTAATTTTTTGGGATGTAAGGTTTCAATAATTGTGATTTAAAAAGGTTTTACTATACTTTTTTTTTTATAATAAATAGAATAATATTATTAATCATGAGATCAAATCTGCAACAAGTGCAGAACTAATAAAAGGTGGAGGAGAGTTTTTCCATATATACAATCTAAAAGATTAACAGCTTATTTGGCAAGGTTGTGAGTAGGAATATTAAAAGATCTAGGAATTCATGAACCTTCCCAACACATGAAATTTTGACATAAGATAATGGCATCATGAATCAACAAACCACATGATGAATCATCAAATTCCAAATGGTCCGGCATTTTAATGACCTTTTGTGAATCTCCTTCCAAAACAATCTTATTGAAACTGAAATCATGTAGTAATTGAAGAGCATGTTTGGCCGCATATGGTTCAACTACATTTGGCTCCAATATCCCGAGAATTTTTTTGGAAAGTCCAGCAATGAAACTTCCTTTATCATCTCGGATAATAACACCGACCCTTGATGATTTATCATCCATAAATGCAGATCCATCAAAGGTTTTACTATACTTGTATGTAATAATTTGACAAAAAGTAGATATCATTAAGATAAGATTAGTTATTTTTTAAAGTTATTTTAAAATTAAAGATAAATTTTAAACATATAATATAATCATTGTAATAATTTGATGGAAAACAGCAATCATTAAGATAAGATTAGTTAAGATTGTTGGTTTTTAAAGTTATTTTAAAATTAGAGATAATTTTTAAACACATAATATAATCCAAATCGAATTAGTATGGGTAAAATCCAAATGACCCGTAACCCGTTAATTCTTTTCAATTAAACATGCCACGTAGGAGTGAGAAATACTGTGATTAAAATAACTATTTTTACACACATACACACACACGTAGATTTGAGTTGTTCGTGAGCCGAGCTACTCGCGAGTAGCTCGGTCAACAACTCGACTCGAACTCGGTCAACCCGAGTTTGAGTCGAGTTTCGAGTAGCTCGACTACAAATCGAGTCGAGTTTCGAGTCGCATTTTCCGAGCTCGTGGCTCGTCGAGTAGCTCGACGAGCCGGAGTTATTTAAATAAAATATTTATAATTTAAATAATATATATTTATTATAATTATAAAATGACCATTATGGGTATAAGTTATATGGAATTTACAATATACCCTTCTTTATAATAAAATCCTATAATGGCAAAAAAGTAATAACATAATTGTAAAAAACACTAAAAAGAAAAAATGTCTAAAAAAAAGGAAGAAAAGACTTTCTTCCTTCTCTGTTCGACTTTCTTCTCTGTTCGAAGAAAGCCTAGCAAAAAAATTCACTTTACCAGCCGGCAGCCACTGACTGTGACTGATTTAGATCTACACCCTCACTCCGTTCGTCGCCGACGCCGTTGCTCGCCGCATATGTGAGACTCCATCGCCATCGCCATCGCCATCGCCATCGCCTTAACAAGTCCCAAGTCCCAAGTCCCAAATCGAAGCTGCTCTCTGCCTCTCCGGCCTCCGCCAGTCCGCCGCGCTCTACGTCTCCTGTCGGCTGTGTCCTGCCGTGCTGGTTCATCGCTGCCGAGTGTCGAAGACGAAGCACCAAGATCTCACTAGTTCATCGCTGGTTCATCACTGCTCATCTCTGGCTCACTTAGGTAAGTGCTCCTCTGTTTTTGGCTCTGTGTCTCTGGCATTAAAATGGGCCAAGATCGACTAGGAAACTTGTTATCCTGAATCGATAAGGGGACGAAATCTGAGCTTCCAATTGCAAACTCTAACTGTTGTAGTAGTTTAGATTAGGTGTGATATAACATAAGCTTTGTATTTTATACACAAGAAGCTCTCTCCAGTTGTGTAGCCTTTAAAAGTTAAGGCCTTGGGGTTGAGGCTATGTATAGACATTTGTAATCTTGTAGAAAGTGGGGTTGAGGCTATGTGTTGGTGTTCCACTTCGGGTGTTCTGTTTACGGAGTCTTGAAGGTCTTAACTTGCTTGTTTGATGCTAGAGTTTGCACCCTTGCGACTTCTGAAAGATTTACATTTCTGGGACCACACATGTATAAGCTTTAAGTACAATGTGATTTCTGTGCTATTTAGTCAATTTTTATAATTTCATGGCTGAAAGGAATAAATTTGCTTATTTTATGTGTTCCTGGGTAGTTAAAACCTTTATTTGAAGTTTTTGTAGTAGAAGCTACATTCCATCAGATAGTTGTTAGTGTTGTTTGAGGATTTTGCTCTAGTATCTGCTGCATTTTCCTTTTTTGCCTGCCGTTTGTATAAACTTAATGACTATTGTCTAGTTTTGTTGCATTAGTTCGTGCCTGCATTAATTTTTTTGCTCAGAAATATTAATTGTTAGATCTGTGTCGTTTTCTTGTGATTCTAGTTTGGAACTTGTTCTTTTCATTTTCTTGTTATTCAAGTTATATTCCATCAGAGAGAGAGGTGTAGCTGTATTTGAGCATTCATTTTTGCATGTTGAAAATAAGATCTTGAGTGCTGTTGATTGCTATTTTTAATTTTACTTTTATTACAAATGGATTTAGATCTGCTTTGTACGTAGATGATTATACTTGTGTTTATGCGTGTAGCTGTGCCAAAGTTTATCGGTCTTCATACATGCCCTTATGACCTCCTCAGTTGAGCACATGCGCATGCCTTTCTCTCTCTTTAGATTCAACTCCTGGATACTGAGTTGACTGGTTGCATCTCTACACTATTGCTGTCATCTCCTATTATGATTCTTTTAAGGAAATATGGTTTTACCGACATTAATCCCAGGGTTCCATTGTTGGGCAGGACTTAACAACTTATTATGGTCCTATGCTATGAGGCATTTGTCGTGGTAGAAGAGTTCCTTTTCTTCCCTTGTTTACCCGCGTATAGAAGTATAAAGCTGTTTACAGTCACCTTTGATCTGGTTTTTTGGTCAAATCGAGTCAAAAAGCTTGATAAGACTCGACTTGATAAGGCTCGATTAAAGATCGAGCCTTATCCAGTCGAGTCTCGAGCCTAAGGAAATTCTTCGAGTCGATCTTCGAGTATCGATTTTCGGGCT